TGTGCCACTGCTCTTCAGTAGCTGCTGTGATCTCACCATGTTTATCCACTGTAAACTGGTAATACTGATACTTGCACTGACTCTTGACCTCAGAGCATGAGGAAGTAATTCAACTCTCAGTACTGTGAGACATACAGTGCAAGAGGATAGATTGACTCATTTGAGTGAGTTTCTTTGATCACTCTAGTTTATATGTGCACAATGTGTATAATGTTTTTTTTTCTTCTCAATTCATTCAGGGGAAATGTTTGGAAGAATTGAATTCTGGGCCCCTGGATAAGATTTCTTATCCTGACAACATCCCAACAACTTCAATTGAAAATGCAACAATTATTGATATCTATTTGGAAAATATGCTTCATGACACCTTCATGTATCGTGGAATTATTTCAGGTTTTTTAATATTTTTGTTTAAATGCAATGAATTCAATGTTATGACCAAAAAACCTTCTTCCAGAGAACTTTCTTGCACTTAAAGGAGACGTAGTATGCTAATTTCCAGCTCTATATTTTTATTCTGGAACTTCACTAGAGCTGCTTTACATGATTCAAAGTTAAAAGAAAAATCTTTATCTTATACTGGCCCTTCATGCAGTTTATCCTCTGTCTGACGTTTTTGCCCATCTTTAGGGCCAAGTGGCAGCACCCAATGCTTGTGAGCATCGCCTCATCCCCTTAGTAGTGTTCTCAACAGCATATAATAGCGTCAGCAACTTAGCTTGGACAATAGCAATATGTGTGAATTTGTTGAATTTACTGTTTATCAGACCACAAATGAGACAAGTTTTTAACTTTATTCACTGATGTTGGTGTAACTTCATATTTTATGGAGAAAATATTTTCTACTTTTCCTCTGATGTCCTTTGGCTTGTCAGCCTCAACTTGCAGTGATTTACGTTTTTTCCTTTCATTCTATTTGAGAGTTTTTTGTGTGTAGCATGAATAGACAGCGTGCACAGCATTTGAAATGAAAACATAATCAGTAATCAGTTTAATCAGTTCTGTGTGTTTGCAGGCTGTCAGGCTGTCTGATCACAGAGGAAGGTTGTGCTTCTCTGGTCTCAGCTCTGAGCTCCAACCCCTCCCATCTGAGAGAGCTGGACCTGAGTAACAACAACCTGCAGGATTCAGGACTGAAGCTGCTTTCTGTTGGACTGAAGAGTCCACA